TTAAATTTTTTAATTGCAAATAAATTATTAATTTAATGGTTTATTTATATTATCATGTTTAGATAACTTGGGTCCATCCTTCGTAATGCCATGAATGTTTAAAAAATGTGATATCAAATTTGATATTGAGCCACCTGTTAATTTTAATTGAGACTTATATTCCTAATCAGAATTATTCAACACAAGACAAATGGTATATATAACTTCAATATTAACTTTCTTATCAAGTTGTTGAATAGTTTTAATTACTTTTTTTTCTTCAAAGTAATTTTATACCCAGCTTTATTTTTTTGAGCCACCCTTTCAACCAAATTTAGCTTTTTTAGAGGTAGGGTTATCATAAATTTCGATATCACTTCTTGTACTTGTACTTATTTTTAATGTTGGGCTACTCGATCTTGTAATAGAATTTGTGAATGTTTCATTGAATGGTTGAGCTGACAAAGTTGAAGTATCATTTTCTTCCATTATGTTGCTGATAACTGCTTTTGTTTAATTAATTGAGATACTTTACAAGCATTAAGATAATAGAACACTATTTATAAAGTTTTATAATTCAAAAAGCTGAACTATTGAATTATTATAATTTAAACTCAAAAACTTTTAATTAACTAATCACACACTTCTTATACAGATAACTTATGCATAGACTTAATATATATAGTTGTGTCATATATGCTTTGATTATTTATATGCATATACTTGCATGGCTATGACTAATATATACTAAATCATATAGATAAGTCTTTTTTATTCATATAGCATTCTATATTAATAACTTATACCGTTTCTCGATTGTCTTATTATTTTTTTTTTTAACATACTTTAGTTTCCCAAAAAATTTTATGATGACTTCGAGTGTACTAGGTTTTACAACTCTGGGTTATGTGGCTATCTAATATTGTTAAAAAAAGCCACTTTAAACCCCAACACTGATTCTTATCATTTTGATACTATCATGAAGTCTGTTGATCTGATAAACCTTATTAGGTGAATGGTGTATGCATTATGTAAAACAATTTGAAGAGTTATATATACTTAGAAATAAGTAATATATGTGAGAAAAAGAAAGCTAAAAGTCCATTGTTAAAATTGCAGATTCAAATAAGATATTTTACTTGATCATTGATGAGCATTAAGTTATAAATGAATGAATAAAAATTTTTTTTATACTAAAAATTACAGACAATACATATCAATCTAACTATTGTTATGATTGATAAAATATCAATAGAGCTTGTTGAGGTGAGCAGAGTAGGTGATTACTATTTGCTCCCAATACAGAATTGCAGCAGCAAATAACTAAATTTGAAGAATAGCTTTGAAAGAGTATTACTAAATTGTCATGAAATAACACCTTTCTGTATGTTATTTTAAGTATATATATGTCATTTAGAGTACGTGCATAGGCATCATTATAAGACAAGATTGTCATATCTAATTATTTTTTGAAACTCTAATGCTGGGTGTACGTCATTTTAGAACGTGTATATATGTTATTTTGAAACCATGTATGCTATTTTTATGGGATGCAATTTTTTAAATAATGCCTATACCCATTATTTTATGACAATATAGTATAGCATTTTTCAAATTATTGAACCCCAATGATCATTCTATAACTTTTGGGATTAACTTTAGATTTGAATGTTTCAAATTACTCACTTTGGCTAGAGCTAGGATCCTTGGAATATTCATTATAATTATTTAATAAATTTACATGGGCTTTTGCATAATTAAATATTCACTTGTAATTGAATATTTATTTTTAACTGTGGATATTCACAGGTTCTAGCTCTAGCTTGGCTATTATTTTCAGACTGAAGTATTGTTCAGGTATTTTACTATATTAGGACCATGCTGTTTATTTATTAAAGCAATTCTTTACTATTAATCATCAATATTTACAAGATCTCTTAAAGAGACTTGCTTTATATACTAAATTACAGATTATCATATATTACACACATTAGATTACTACATATTAGACTTTTTGCAAATTCAATTCATGCTATTTATACAATACAGTTATGTTATATAGACTTGATTCTAATTATTTTGATACTACGAGTTTCGGGAACCCGATT